CCCCAAAACCCCAAAACCCCAAAACCCCAAAACCCCAAAACCCCATGCTTTTAAGAGAGAATTGGAATAATTTACGTAATTATATTAAAAATGAGTGAACACATTGCTGAACAATTGACTAAGATTATTAAGTTTATGAGTACCACCGTGGGTAGAGATAAACTCTGCAAACTGGTGCAATATGTCTCCATGTACCTGCAATACAAGGAATCCAACAAGAACTCTCTTGAGGGTCTTAAGGAGTTAAGCAATCCAGATTTTCCATTAAACAAATTGAACTATAACATGTGGATCACAAGGAAGATGCTAAGGCTCGGCCTCTTGTGGCACTATTGCAAGCAGATTAGAGAGTATATCAACTCAGACAGCACTGAAGGGGATCAAGGGACATTAAAGAAAAAGAAAAGCATGCAGAAGAAAGATTCAATGAGTAATGGTGCATCTGGAGAAAGATCTGAGGCATCAAACAGTTTCAGTATTTTTGAGTTTGATTCACCAGCATTGAAAGCCCTCTCAACTATTTGCAATACCCTTTTCTGTGTAGCCGACTTACCTCTACTTCTCCAGGAGCTAAAGTTCATCAAACTTGAGTCTCATTGGTTAAAGCAGATATTTACTCTTAAGCATATTTTCTGGATTCTGTCATGACTTTTCAAGTTGGTTAAGCAGTATATCTTAATCAGAGCAATGAATATGAAAGTTGAGAGATTTAAGAACCTATCATTCCCAAATGAAAAGACAGATAAGTCCTTACTCAAGAACTTTAACGGTAAGAATTATTCAAATGCACCAAATTACTTTACTAGTTCCATGGTGAATCTAACTTATCCCCTATAGAAAATGAAGAGAGAAAGAGTGTTGAAAAGGACTTAACCAAGCTATTAATCAGCGTGATCAGAACCCTCATAGATCTTTTACTCCCCCTCCATTACCTTGGAATCAGGAAGATGAGCACCAAGAGTTTAGGTTTATTTGGCACCATATCTTCACTTGGATCAATGTTGTAGCCAATCAAAATTATTTAAACATTGTTGTCAAATCATTTCTCCAAATCTCAATGTAATTCCTTGGTTTCTTACTCCTTTTTCGCTCGTTAGAGTAGACTTAATCTTTGGCTTGGTCTTGACTCCAGTGTGGACTCTCAAAGCTCAACTCTCCGACGCTGCAATAATTGTACTTTTAATTACACCTTTGTTCAACAAAGGTGTAGTCTGAGGGGTTTTGGGGTTTTGGGGTTTTGGGGTTTTGGGG